GTAGTATTATTAGGCAAAATATTTTCTCCTTAAAGTTCTCTGATGTTTATGGCGTGTTTACAAGTACATAAAGATTATGAAAATGCTCTTACAGAAAATCACCCTAAATTTGATTAATGCAGTCGCATAAATTATACAAGATTAATGTATTAGATACTTTTTAAAAATTTGGTACCAGGGATAGAACTTGGGACCTTGCACTGGTGAGGGCAGGCTGGCAGAACCACAGAGCTAAATCCCTGGTCATGTTAAATACTTTTGATGAAAGTTTTTTCTCAATCTTTAAATTAGTAAATATTTACTAATCATAGTAAATATATTCATTGTGAGGGAATTGGTATTTACACATATCGCATTTTGATCTTTTTATTTCCTCTTTCCCCTCCCTCTTATTTCTCCCAACCCCAGATCTCCTTCCTGTTCTTTCAAAGAATGGACTCCTTAATTCATTGATCTTTTGTATTGTTTTTAAATGTCAGTTTAATTAAATTCCACTCTGATTTTTATAATTTCTTTCCTTCTATTCATTTAAGATATATATTATTCTTGTCTTTTTGGGACCTCGATATGTATCATAAAGTTATTTATTTGGGGTCATTCTGTTCTTTTTATGTGCTCGTTCACAGCTATAAACTTCATTCATAGAAATGTTTTCATTGTGTCCCATAGGTTTTGATATGCTTTGTTTCCATTGTCCCTTGATTCTAGGAAATTTTTTATTTCTTCCCTGATTTCTTCTGTGACCCATTGATTATTCAATAATGTATTAATTTGGGCTGGGGATTTAGCTCCGTGGTTCCCCTGCCTGCCTCCCAAGTGCAAAGTCTGGAGTTCAATCTTTGGTACAAAAAACAAAAAAACCCCACAATAATGTATTAAGTAATCACCATATGTTTGTATAGTTTTTGTGGCTTCTTTTGCTGTTGACTTTTAGTTTCATTCCACTATTATCCAATAGTCTTCAGAGGATTATTTCAATTCTTTTGTATTTACATAAGAATGCTTTATAATAGAATAAGATATGGTCTATTGTGGGAAGAGTTCTGTGTACTACTGAAAAAAATGTGTTTTCTGTTGTTGGATGAAGCACTGTATATATCTGTTAAATTCATATATTCCATAGTGTAGTTTAACTCTTGTTTCGTTGTTGATTTTTTTCAGTTGGCCTAGTTGTAAGAGTGGAATATCAAAGTCTCCCAGTATGATTGTATTGATAGCTGTCCTTTATGTCCAGTAGTTTTGTTTTATTAAGCTGGATGTGCTGACATTGAATTCATAAATATTTATTTTTAAAGCTTATTTTTTAAAAAGTTAATTTTATTGGTACATTTTAGACATATCCAGTAACATTCATCATAGGGAAGTTGTACCTGTACATGATATATCTCAATTCTTTTCTTCCCCATTCCCCTTCCCACCCTCCAGTTCCTCTCTCTTTTCTTACTTACAGCAAATTTGTTCAATTTTTTCCTTCTAGTCTATTTTTTCCCTTTCTTCCTTTCCTCCTCTCCCCTCCCTAGTTCCTCTTCCCATGCGAACATTTTTTTCCTATTTCACAATATCTATTACATATTTTGGTCCTTATTTAGCCTTTTGGTTTTTTGCACAGAGAAACAATGTAATATCTAATATATAAAAATGTGTGTCCAATTTGTTTCACTTAAAGAGTATGGCCTCAAGATGCATCTATTTATCTAGAAATGTCTCAAGTTTATCCTTCTTTATGGCATGGTAGTACTCCATATACCCACATCTTCTTTCTCCATTCATTGGTTGATGGGCATTTGGGCTGTTTCCAAGATTTAGCTATGATAAACTGTGCTGCTGTAAACATGGGTGTGCATGTATTGCTATGGTATGATACCTTTGATCCTTTCAGGAAGATACCAAAAAGGAGACTAGTAGGGTTAATTGGAACCTCTAGTTTTAGTTTTTTGAGAAATCTCCACACTGATTTCCACAGTGGTTGCACCAGTCTATACTCACACCAACAGTGGAGAAGGGTTCCTTTTTTCCCACAGCCCCTCCAGCATCTGTTATTGATTGATTTCTTGATAATAGCCCATTCTTTTTTGAGTGAGCTGGAATCTCAGTATTGTTTTAAGTTGCATCTTTCAAATGAGCAGTGATGCTGAGTATTTTTTCATATATTTATTTGCCATTTTTACTTCATATGAGAAGTGCCTATTCATTTCAGATGCCCATTTTTAGATTGGGTCTTTAAACTTGGGGGTCTGATGTTTTCCAGGTCTTATTAGTCCTTTGCAGAACAGCTGGCAAAATTTTTCCTACTGTGGGTTGTCTCTTCACTCTGTTAGTGGTTTCTTTTGCTGTGTAAAAGCTTTTTAATAAGATGAGATCCCAGTTCTTGATTCTCTGTGATATTTCCTATAGGTGAGGGTTTTATTCATAAAGCTTTTGCCTACACTTGTGTCTTCAAGAGTTCTACCTGTTCTCTCTTCTAGCAGAGTTAGTGCTTCTGTTTTAATATTTAGCTATTTGATCCATTTCAATTGTAGTTTAATACATGGTGAGAGATATGGGTCCAGGTTTAATCTTCAGCATGTGGAAAGCCATTACAGCATCATTTATTAAAGAGGCTGTCTTTCTTCCAGTGAAGGTGTGTAGCCAGCCCCTTTGTCAAAGATAAGGTGGCTGAGTGTGTGTAGAGTTGTTTCTGTGTCTTCTAATATGTTCCACTGATCCTAGGGTCCACTGTTTTGTTGTTGTCGTTGTTTGGTTTTTCCAGTACCATGCTGTTTTAATTTTGTTTTGCTTTTTTTTTCCTGTACCAGGGAGGGAACTCCAAGACTTTGTGTTTGCCAGGCAGATGTAGTGCCACTGAGCTAAATCCCCAGGCCCTACACTGTTTTTATCACGTTAGCTTTGTATTATAATTTCAAGTCATGCTACTCATGCTTTCCACTGAATATTTCACATCATCTATGTTTAGTTTCTCTTTATACTTTACAATTTTTTTCTAAGGTGGCCATTCATGTCTTGCTAAACTCAATTAGCTTATTGTTTGTTTCTTCTTTAAGGTCATTGAACATCTTATTGGTAAACTCCTTTATCTTTTTAATTAAATCCTCTTTAAGCTCATCAAATGTGTTATACATTTACCTATGCTATATGTTTCTTTTTTTAATCATTTCAAACATTTTAACCATTGGTTTTTGAGTTCTTTGCCTGTAGTTTCCTCTACTTCACTGTTTGTGAAATCAGCTTTTAGGTATTTAGGGGTTTGGGGGCATACTGTTGCCTTGTTTTTTGTGTTATGTTTGTGTTGTTATTTCCCTGTGAGCTGAAAATCTGTTAGGGTAGAGAAATTCTGACACTATTGGGGAGATCTCTTTAGTTAGATTTTGTTTGTGATATGTCCTTAAGTTTGGTTATGTTTTTGTGTACACACTCTTTAATCTATTCAGCATAATATTTAAAGATCTTATTATTGTTCAACATTTTTTGGGGGGCTTGATCCCCAGCACTACTCATAAAGGAGAAAATGAACTGCACTAATGTTGGTGACACAAAGACAAACCAGATATTGACATACATTGTAAGCCAATTAAAAGCAACAACTGTGTCACCATTAACAATAAAAAAGAAACCTGCAAGAATAGAGTGAAAGACAAACCAGTTATTGACATATCATAATAACCAATAACTACACCTACACTATCCTTAATGATAGAAAAGAGATCTAGAATAATAATATAGACACAAAGACAAACCAGATATTGACATACAGTAAATACTAAGAGCAATGACTGTACCACCATTAACAATACAGTAGAATCCAGCAATAATACTATAGTCAACTAAATAGCTAAAATTAATAAAGCTTAATAGTGTTAATAATAAAATGTATGGATAAGGAAAGGGGAAAATAAAAATAAATTAAAAAATTCCTCTCTGTGTGAATGAATGGAGTGGTTTCTTTTCATCCCTGTGACATTGGAATCCACCATATATGGGTGAGGGATGATAGTGAGTCACAACTAAGGCCTATTTTGTTTCTTCGCCCATTTTTTGCTCTGTAAATTCTGAGTCCTGCAATGCCTATTCTGCTTGCCATGGTAAGTCAGTTATGAGATATCTGCTTTAGGGCTATATTCACACCAGTAGCTTTTAGTATTTGTGCCATTAAGTGCATCTCAATCATGGCTACCTCCAACTAGCTTTAGGAACAGTAGGCTAGTGATGTACCTCCATTGCTCCAGTAGACCCTCTGTCTGTACACTCCAGAATGTGGCCAGTGTCCAAGGTGAGGCATATCTCTGATCACACTGGCAGACAGGAAAAGCAAACAGATCATGGAGCTCTTTGTTGGAACTAGGCAGCAAGGTAGGTCATGCAGTCTTGCTAGGACTTAATGTCAGCACTTTCAGACCCACTCCTCTCAGAAAACCACACAAACTGTCGGGCTTCTCACCAGAGGGTAGGACTACTATGTCCTTTACAACCTAAGTTTGCAATTGCTTAAACTTCTCAGAGCGTGTGCATCTAGCTTTCCCCATTTCTGTGACTGCCTCCTGTGGCCATCTCCTATACAGCAACTGTAGCAGGATGACCTCAGAGACCCTGAAGCGAAGTTGTTCTGTGACTTCTGATTCTCAGAGTAGCTCAACCTTAAATAAACCCTTCCCCAAACGGCTTCTGATTGTATCACTTCCAAGTGTGGCAGAGGCTGCAGTGAATTTCTTCTTCAACTCTATCCTGCCATGTGGAAAGAGTTACTTTCAGAGTAAAACTTCACACTGTATTTGCAGTTATTGTGGGCTCTTCTTGGGGGCTAATGCTGCTGGTACATTGTTTCTCCCTGGGACTGCATCTCACCAGGTCTACCTTGTGTTTGCAGAGATAGGATCTGAGGTTAGTGTTCCAAAGTGTTTCATTCTTTTCTCTGCCTTGTCTTCAGTTTCTTTGTAGTTTCTAGTTTTACTATCAGCTCTTTCTTGATTCCTAGAGCTCTACTTCTTTTTCTCCTCTCTAAGTTATTGGTTTTCAGCTTTCTTGATTCCAGAGCCAAAAGAAGCCATATTTTCTGTTGGTCTTTATGCCACCATTTTTAATCCCTGTGATAAATTAAATTAAAAAAGTGTTATTTTGTTTTAGAAAATCAGGAGGACCATTTAATGAACATTAGTATTAATTGTCCTCAAATAATTCTAACATTAAAGTAATACTATAATATAGGTTTTTCAAATTACATGGAAATTTGTACAACTTTTATGTGTGAAGAAATGGAAGATGATACAGATTTAAATAAGATAAATTCTGTGGCATAATGAAGTATTTTATAAGAAGATTTTATTGTCTATAATTATTGAGTCCTGCCTTTACTTTGCACAGGCTTATAAGTTCTGTGTTGTAATATCTGAATTATGAGAATGAAATGATGTTTTTAAAAGTCTAGTTTTGGCGAACTTGAAGTTCTTATTAAGAATCTGAAATTTTAGCCAGGCATGGTGGTGCACCCCTGTAATCTTCGGCCTCAGGAGGCTGAGGCAGGAGGATCGCTGTGAGTTTGAGACCAGCCTGGGTACACAGTGAGTTCCAGGTCAGTCTCAATTACATAGTGAGACACTGTCTCAAAAAGCCAAAAAAAGAACCTGAAATTTTAAGCATAAGTTATTTGAATGCTTCATTTTCTCATGTTCTTTTTGTCAGGTATAAATGGATTAATATAGACCCAGAATCATGGGTTAATAGAATTTTAGATCTTAAAAGTATTCATTCAATGATATCTAAGGGGAGAATATGAATGTCTACAGATTGTAAATGACTTGCAGAAATCCTGAAGCAAAGCATGAGGAAAACTAGCCTCAGGACTCAGACCTGTTTGTTTCATTTTATATTGAAGATCCATTATATGTGTCTGTTCTGTTTTAAAAATTCTTCCTGCTTTTCAACAGTTTTATTATAATATGCCCTAGTGTGAATTTCTTTTGAGAATGTCTTTATAGTTTGTTGAGTTTCTTGCATGTATAGATTTATGTCTTTCATTAAATTTGGGAAATTTCATCCATTACTTTTTTTGTTTGTTTTTTTGAGACACAGGGTCTTGCTATTTCCAGGCTGTCATTGAATTCACTCTGTAGTCCAGGATAGCCCTGAATTCATTGCAATCCTCCTGCCTCAGCCTTGTGTGAGTGCTGGGATTACAGGCATGCATTTGTAATGGATGTGCTTGGCTTCATCCATTCATTCATTTCTTTCTTTCTTTTTTTAAAATTTTTGGTACCAGGGATCAAACTCAGGTGAGGTAGGCGGTGGCACCACTGAGCTAAACCCATGGCCCTTCATCCATTAATTTTTAACAATTTAAAATGCAATATGTATGTACACCAACTCCCTGTAAAGACTATATTCATCAATGTAGGGCAAACATGTACTAATAAAAATCCCTTGTGCACTTTTCTTCATTTTGTTCTCCTATAATTACGCTATACTAATTGATGTTCCACAAGTTACTTGGGTATGTTAAATTTATTTTTTGTCTATTATGTTTTCTTTCTGCTTCTCAGAATGGTAATTAATCATTTTTCTTATGCTTGGAAGCAGACTCAGGACCTGGAATGGTGCCACTGAGCTAAATGCCCAGCCCAGTCTGGGTAAATTGTCCTATCTTCAAATCTGCTGATCTTTCTTCTGACTACTCAAATGTGTAATTCCCAACAGTGTCATGTGTGTGTGTGTGTGTGTGTGTGTGCGCGCATTTTACTCAGGGGTTGTCTGCATATGAGGCAAGCACTCTACTACTAAACTATAGCCACAGTTTCCTATAGCAACTTTTCAGTTTCAGCTCCAAAATGTCTGTTTTTCACAAAATTAATTTGTCTTTATTTATTATTCTCTATTAATACCTTGCTCTCCTGCTTTTCTTTTTCTTTCTTTCTTTCTTTTTTTTTTTTGTACCAGGGATCAAACTCAGGTCCTTCTGCTTGCGAGGCAGGCAGTGGAACCACTGAGCTAAATCCCCAGCCCTTTCTCCTGCTTTTCTATAGTTCTTTTGTCCACGATTTCCTTTTGCTGAGTATGTTTAAGATGGTTAACTTAAAAGTCTTTGCCAAGAAATCTAATGTCTGTGCTTTCTCAAAAATGGTTTCTCTTAACTATTTTCTCCTGTGAATGGGCCATACTGTCTTGTTTTATGTATGCCTTTTATTTTTGTCAAAACCATATTTCAAATATTATAACATAATCCCAGAAATCAGATTCTTCCCACTCCCACAGGATTGCTATTATTTCTTGAGGGATAGAGTCATCTGTTTGTTCATATACTTTTCTTAGAAGAATTGTATTTGTGTGTGTGTATATGTGTGTGTGTGTGCGTGTGTTCGCGTGTGGTTTCTTAGTACTGTTATATCGTCTCAGTAGTCAGCCAGCAACCCAACAGATCTCCTTAAGTGCCTGGAGCCAATAATAAAAAAAGACTTACACTCTATGTTTTTGAAGACTGATTATGATGGCTATGAAGTGAGGCTTTATTTGTACTACATCTCTTGATAAGGTCAGTAGTGGAAGCTTTGGGTCCTTTCAGGTCTTTTCAGAGCATGGGTCAGGCCCTAGGCAAGCATTTACATGTGTCAGTATACCATTACCTTTTGCATCTAAATAGTATTCTAATACATAGATATTCCAGATTTTCATCCATTCATCAATTCATGGACATTTTGTTTTCATTTATTGGTTCTTATCAATAATACTGCTATGAAACAGTGAACTCTTTCTAGGCTAGTGTGTGGATACAGAAATATATTATACAATCCTATTTTTGTTTTTTCCATTAAATATATTGGTACATTTTAGGTATACAATAGTTACATTCATCATTGGGATTTTGTACCTTTACATCATGTATTTCTTATTTTTTGGTACCAGGGATCAAACTTGGGACCTTGCACTTGCAAGGCAGGTGGCGGAACCACTGAGCTAAATCCCTGGCCCTACATGATGTATCTTGGTTCTTAGTTTTTTACCTATTCCTCTGTCCTCCCTTTACCCCACCCACCCTTCCCTATTTACAAAGACTTTGTTTCCTTTTGTTGTTGTTGTTGCTTTTCTCATGTTTCTTCTCCCTTCTTACCTTTCACCTACCCCGCACTTCCTCTACTCCTTTAGACCTTTTCTTCCTATTACACAATATCAATTATACATTTTGATCCTTATTTACACTTTTAGTTTTTCAAACCAGAGTAACTATTTGGTATTTACACATATCTGTCCTATTAATTTCACTTAAGAGTATGGTCTCAATGTGCATCCACTTAGCTATAAATGTCTCTATTTTCTTATTCTTTATGGCTGAGTAGTACTCCATTTTAGAAAAAAATCCCACATCTTCTTCACCAGTCTCCCGTTGATGGGCAATTGGGCTGTTTCCAAGTTTTAGCTATTACAAACTGCTGCTATAAACATGGCTAAGCATATATCACTGTGGTGTGATTCTTATAATTCTTTGGAAAAATACCCAGCAGAGGAATAGCTAGGTCAAATGGGACTTCTAATCCTAGTTATTTGAGGTATCTCCATGTAGATTTCCATAGTGGTGGCACCAGTCTGCACTTTCACCAATAATGGCAAAGTGTTTCTTTCTCCCCATAACCGCAACAGCATTTGTTATTGGTTGATATCTTGATAGCAGCCACTCTTTCTGGGTTGAGGTGGAATCTCAGTGTTGTTTTCATATGCATCTCTCGAATGAGCAGTGATGCTGAATATTTTTTCCTATGTTTATTTGCTGTTCTTACTTCTTTATCTGAGAAATGTCTGCTCATTTCAGATGCCCATTTTTGAATTGGGTCTTTATGTTTAGGGGTCTGATTTGAGTTTTTTATATATTTTAGATAGTAGACCTTTATCTACTATCTAAACATCTGGTAAAACAGCTGGTGGAACAGCTGGTAAAAATTTTTTCCTACATTGTAGGTTGTCTCCTAGCTCTGTTGGTGTTTCTCTTACAGTGCTTACAATTCAGAGGATTTCTTATTTTTTATTTTTATTTTTTAAAATTTTTCTCAGCTTTAATTGAGTTTCTTGGTACATTTTAGGGATATAGTACAGTTATATTCATTGTTGGGATCTTTTTTTTTTTTTGGTTGTTTTTTGAGACAGGGTCTCACTGCGTAGTGAGACTGACCTGGAACTCACCATGTAGCTCAGGCTGGTCTTGAACTCACAGCAATCCTCCTGCCTCAGCCTCCCAAGTGCTGGGATTACAGGCATGAGCCACCATGCCTGGCCATTGTTGGTATCTTGTACCTCTACATGACACGTCTTGGTTCTCGTTTTTTTCCCTTGTCCCCGCCTTCCCTTCACCCCCTCCTCTTCTCCCCTTCAACAATCACTTTATTTCCATCATTTCATTATCTCACATTTTTTTCTTTTCCCTTATTACTCTTCCCCTACCCATCCCACCTTCCCTACACCTTTAGCCCCTTTGTTCCCATTTCACAATGTCAGTACAGAGGCTTTTTTAAAAAGATGAGATCCCAGTAATTGATTCTTTCTGCTAGTTCCCATGCTACTAAAGATTTATTTATTAAGTCTTTTCCTATGCCATATATATTTGTGCTTTATCTTTTAAGTCTCTAATCACTCATAGACATTCTCATTTTCATAACATCAGAGAAGAAAACTCATTAAATCAATCACAATCCTTTAGCCCAATTGATACAATCAGCCACACAATAGGATCAAGCACAACTTATAAATTGATCATTTGTGGTAGTCATTAATCTATCACCTTTAAACCATGCAAATTAAATTAAAATCAAGAAGCACCCAAAATATGTTTTGCAGTAAATAAACTCTTCAATACAGCATCTTTACCATTTAGGATGGGGGCTTAGACAGAGTTAGGATGAGAGGAGTAGATAAAGAATTGGAGAAGGTTTCAATTGAAGCTAGAGGACATAGGATGACCATACAATCTTTAGGAAACTGTTAAAGTCAAAAGAGAAAGACAGTGCAAGATTAAAGACAAGAATATAACAACTTAATAGTAATAGGGGCTCACTTTCCTTTGAAACTATTGACCCTGGAGTGAAGTAAAAAAGAATATAAAGGAAAAAGAAAAAGCAATAGAAAAAGAAACCTGAGTTAGGGGTGGAACAGGAACAGAAAGCAAGGTGAGGAATAATATCGGGGAGCAAGAGACTGAGTTGGTAAAAAGAAGATAGAAAAAAGAAAGAATTTGCAGAGTAGAATGAAGAAAAGAAAGAAGAAAAATAATTTGAAGGTCCTCTTTCAGATTATATCTCTTTTGTCATAATATACAATGTGCACAGCCATGTGCAGAACTAAGTTCTTTGATCTCAGCTAGCCAATGGCAGACTTCTGAGATTGAGACTGATTTAGGTCTTCAATGCCCAAATTGAATTTCCTGAACTCCTGCAGGGTTGAACTCTGCCAAGTTCTACTACAGGTTCCCTCTGCCCTTTTTATGAAGATTTTCAAAGACTGGAGCTCAGAAAAATGCGCTTTATGATCACCTGTGTCTCTGCAGAGTGGATCCAAGGACTGGCACAATCAGGAGGCCTGAAACCGGGGTTGGTGGTGGGAGTGTTGCAGGGGCACCTGCATGGCAAGCTAGTCCTCACCGATTGGGCCCAGGCAGGCTGGAGGGAGAATGAATCTTGGAGTGGCTGTCCTGGATCTCCACCTTCCACATTCCACTGGGTGCTGGTCACGGCACAGTTGGGGGTGAGGGAGTGGCTACCCAGTCCTCACCAATTGGCCCCAGGCAGGCCGAAGGAAGAAGGGATCTTGGAGCAGCTGTCCCAACTGCTACTTTCCACCTTCTGCTGAGTCAAGATCTCTATTTTCATTGTCACTGACTGCCATCCTGTCTTCTATAGCTGATATTTTGTCTTCAGATTGGCTCAGTCTGCTGTGTATACTTTCAGTAGCATTTTTAATCTTCTAGATAGGTTTCAATCTGTTTCATGGATATTTTTTTCCCTATATTGGGGGTTCATGGTTTCCATTTCTTTCCTATGCTAAAAACTCATTTGCACTGATGTACATATTTACATTTATGATTTGATGAATATTGAAATATGAAACCTGTAAAACCATGACAAATAACATTTGTATCACCATGATGTTTTCTGTGTCCTTTTGCATTCCTGCACCATAATCATGCATCCACTGATCTGCTTTCCTCATTAACCATGCTTGTATTTTCCAGTACAGTTGTACCTCAGTTCAGAAACACTTTTGTTCTCAATTTGGTTTGTAAACAAAATCATTTGACAAAATTTTGTTTTTGTTTGCTTGCACACTCTGCATTGGATGACAAACACAACTGTGGCCACCTTTCCCACACAAGCAGAAAAATGGCTATCTTTTCCAAAATCATGGAACATATTAAGTTCATAAACTGAGGCACCACTGTATTTTACATTAATAGTAACACAATACTGTTCCTCTTGTCAGGTTTCTTTCACTGATCACAATTATTTTGAATTTTTTCTTGTTGTTGCATGTATCAATAGCTCATTTTTTACTCCTACTATTCCATTGTATGCCTGTATCACAATTTATTCATTCACGTGTTTTGGATATTACAAATGATTGTTTGGACATGTTTGTAAAAATATATTTGTGTGCTTATGCTCTCATTTATCTTTGGTAAACCTAGGAGTGATAGATTTAACTTTTTGGGAATAACCAATATATTTTCAACAATGGAAAACAATGGCCATTCAAATAATTACCAAACTCTTGGATAATTTTACATTCCTACTAGCAGTGAATTCAAATTCTAGTTGCTCTGTATTCTTGCAATATTTGGCTTGGTCAGTGTTTTCACTTTTACCTACTACATTGGATGTGGTCTGGTATAGTACTAATTTTATACTACATTTTACTACTGACTAATAGTGTTGAGAATCTTTTCATTTGATGATTATCCATCCACGTATCTTCTTTAGTGAAGTATATAGCCAAATATTTTGCTTATTGAGATTGAGAGATGAGTTGTCAATAAAGTTTATGAGACTATAATTCCTTTGTTAGATATGTTTAGAAATATTTCAATTTGTGCCTTGAGTTTTCATTTTCCTAGAAGCATCTTTATTAAAATATATGCATCCAAGTAGGTACAGAAAGAAACCTTCATATTGCCACAATTCACATGGAAGAACTGAAAATTTGAGTTGACCCTGGTCCTAATATAAGAATATAACATAGCTCATATTATCAGGTTTCCTTTATGAATATATTTTGTAGATAATGATAAGAATTTCTTGGTTCCTTGTGCTGATCATATAATAGTATTTTTTCATTTCTGGACAGTATATATTAAATGGAACATCATCAAACAAATGCATTCAGAGGAAATAAATTAGGATAAGACCAAAAGAGGAAAGACTGAAGAAATTTTGGATAGTCTAGAGATAAAAATAGATTAAGTGGAGTTAGGGGGTTTAACAAGCTTGAAGGCTCTTCAGTGTAACCAAATAGTTTAGAGCATAGGATTTTGTTTTCAGAAGGTTGTGGATTCAAATGCTAGCTATTCTTCATAATCGCTGTGTAATATGATGCGTGATACTCAAAGGCAAAGTTTTCTCACTGATAAAGTTCGTGGTGTATTTTAATAACTAAATAGTTGCAGTGGCTTCAAAATGACAATTTAAAATGTTGCTGGTAATTGCTTCTCAGGCTTTTGGGTAAGATCAAGTGTAAAATGGTGCTCATAATACAGCTTTGCCTTCTAAGTTCTCCACTTTTTGCAACCTATTTTGTGCATAAAGTGTTTTTGCTTAGTATTGTGATATTGTATATATTTTGTCCCAGTTGTATAATGTTTTTCAGTCTATCATCCAGCTTGGTGGCTGAAATCACACGGCTGTGAAAATTTGCCTTTGTTTCTGTTAGACTCTTTTCATTTCTGTATTTGGTATCTTAAGTATTGTAGAAAAGATGTCACTTCCTCCCCCCCCCATTGAGTTTATTGGTACATTTTAGGTATGCAGTACAGTTACATTCATTATTGGGATCTTGTACCTTTACATGACAGGTCTTGGTTCTCATTTTTTTCACCTTGTCCCTGCCCTCCCTTCACCTTCTCCTCCCCTCCCTATTTACAAACATTTTATTTTCATTTTTTTCATTTTCTCATATTTTTTTCTTTCTCTTATTACCTTTCTCCTACCCTTTCCACTTCCCTACACCTTTAGCCCTTTTCCTCCCATTTCACATAGTCATTTATCTCATTAGGATCTTATGTACTATTATAGTTTATTCACACCAGAGAAACTATTCGGTACTTACAGATGTGTGACTTATTTATTTCACTTAGGAGTATATCCTCAAAATATATCCATTTTCCTATGAATGAATCTAATTTCTCATTCTTTATGGTAAATAGTATTCCATTTAAATAAATATGGAATGCTTCACGAATTTGTGTGTCATCCTTGTGCAGGGGCCATGTTAATCTTCTCTGTATTGTTCCAATTTTAGTATATGTGCTGCCAAAGCAAGCATGGTCACTTCTTTGAGTCTGTTTTGCAATATATATTAGGACTGGATTTTTTTTTTTTTTTTTTTTGTGCCGGCTGTCAAACTCAAGTTCTTGCACCTGCGAGGCAGGTGGCAGAACTGCCAACCTAAATCCCTGACCTGAAATTGTATTTTTAAAGAAAAGCATTCAAGTATGACAGTGTTTTCACCAAATGCTGTTTAGTAGTTGAAACGTAAACTATTTAATGTCATTTAGAAAAGTGACCAAAATATAAAAAAAAATTATTGTTATTATGAAATAATAGTGATGTTGAGAATCATTCATGACAGCTTCTAGGATGCCTGTAGGTATATTAAGATCTCCCTAAAACAGTACTTTTCCTGGAAGGTACATTGGTGTATTACCTACCTAATTATGTATGAACTTATGCCATACTTATTAGATTAAAACAATAAATATCTGGTATCTCAGAGTTTGTTCTGTGGTTCAGGAGCACTTTTCCTTGGGGTTGGGAGGATTTTGCTATTGTGTTCAAGTTGTCAATTACAAGTGCATTTATCTTAAGGCTGTGTATAGAGAGAAAGCCCAAGTTTCTTCCTCTGTAAGGAGGCCTCAGTTTCTCACTATATGGATACTTCTATAGATGGAATAACATGGCAGCAGTCTTCTCCAAAATTGAATAATCCAAGTGAAAGAACAAGCAAACCAAAAGCCACAATGCCTTTTATGTTCTAATTCCAAAAGTCTCACATAACTGTCACCTCTGCCACATTGTACTTTTTTAAGTGATTCATTAAATGCAATCTATAATCAAAAGGAAGGGAGCCAGGCATGGTGGCGCATGCCTGTAAACTCAGCAATTGGGAGACTGAGGCAGGAGAATTGCTGTGAGTTTGAGGCCAGCCTGAGCTACATAGTGAATTCAAGGTCATCCTGAACTACATAGTGAGATCCTATCTCAAAAAACCAAATTAAAAAAAAATGGAGGAGGCACTGTCATTGAATCTGTGGATATATTTTAAAATCACCATAGCCAACAAAGCATTTTAAAGACTCCCCCATGCTGCCCAGTACTGGGATTGAACTCAGAGCCTTGCGTTTGCCAAATTGGCACTACTGAATTACTTTCCCCAGCCCCTAAAGACATTTTTGATATTGCTGACATGAAATAAAACTATTCAGTACTTGTTTCCAAACAGGTAATTGGATCCAGATTTCTTATAATATTTAATCACAGCACTTATTTTCTAACTAACATATTGGGTCCACCTTAGGTAAAAATGTTTGAAGGGTTGAAGATATAGCTCAGTGGTAGAGTGCTTACGTAGCATAAGTGAGACCTTGGGTTCAATCCCTAGCATGGCTTTTGTTTGTTTGTTTTTGTTTTTTGATTTTTTGGTACCAGGGATTGAACTTTGGTCCCTGTGCTTGCGAAGCAGGCACCAGAACCACTGAGCTAAATCCTGGGCCCCCTAGCATGGCTTTTAAAAATGTTTTAACTACTTATTTTAAAATCGTGAACTTATAAACTTCTACACTTTCCCTGTAAAAGTCTTCATTAGACTTCTGTCATAAGTCTTTTGGTCAACCAAGACACGCTTTTAAACTCATGGTCTTCTGCTTATAAGTTTAATATTAAGCTAAGACTGTCTTGATCATTTGATCTAGCATATTAGTTTTCTATGACAGCTGTAACAAATTATCACAAAGTGGGAGGCTTAAACAATAGAAATTTATTCTCTCATAGTTCTTGAGGTCAAAAGTAAAAAAAATACTGTGTCAACAGTGTTGTGCCTCTGGGGGCTCTAGAAGAGAATTTGTTTTTGCTTTTTTCAGCTTCTAGTGGCCCTTGGCATTACTTGACTATTAACTGTGTCATTCCAGTCATTGCCTCCATGGTTCTATCATTTCTGTCCCTTTTATCTTCCTTTGCCCTCACTCTTATAAGGACATTTGCCATTGCATTTAGATCTACCTGGAAAATCTAGGATAATGTTTTTCCTAAAATTCCTAATTACATATTTTATCATATAAGGTAATAGTTACATATTCTAAGGGTTGGAATGTAGCCATATATTTTGGGAGGCCACCAATCATATCATTATTAAAATTAGCTTGGCAAAATAGGACAACAAAGAGATCTTTAAGATATTCTCTATAGCATAACTATAACTATTTCTTTAAAATTTACTGTAAATTTGATTAAGATAATCAAATGCCTGTGAATATAGTAGCTTCTTGGGAAAAAATGGGAAAGGATTTTTTGAAGTGTCACATAAAGTTGAGAAATGTTGTAGTTGATATTTGGTCATCATTTTGTGTATATATATATATATA